CCTATCAGAGAAAGAGACCCATTGACACGATGAAACAAAGCACTTCCAAAAATATTTAAACCACTCAGTAAAACATAAGCGCAGGCTTTGAAGTTAAACATTTGTTCAGGGATCTGATCCAAATACCACTGAAATCATTAGGAGTCCTTCCATTGACACCAAAGGGCTTTGGATCAGACATACTACTTTGCTGAATAGGATGAAGACATCCATAAATATCAACTGCCTTATATCAACTTTGCTGGGTCCTGTGATAAAAGGTGTGAGTGTAGAAGGGGAATGGAGATTTATTTTTCTATATAAGAAAGAAAAAAATTGGGCTAAATCTAAAATAATGTTCAGTCTTAATTACATAGTCATGAGTCTGTCAGTGTCCCCAAAGCACAGGTTACCTGGAGTGCTTCCTGACACACAGCTTCTCTACCATATTGCCTGCTGAAACCAATATTACTGTTATTATAACACACAAAATTCTCTTCTTTAGACAGTTAGGATTAATGACACAAAACACCAGAAACTGATAGTTCTACTGCTGTGGTTTGTACCACCAGTGTAGAATCACACTGTGCTGTTACAAAACAGATTATCCCAGATATACTGAAACAAATGATGATAAAGTCTCTTTGCAAAAAAAAATTATGTTGCAGTGAGATAATGGGTCTCAAAACTGCTTCCTAGGAGGAAGCAGAAACTGAGGGAAGAGTTAGAAAGCCTGTTGATTTTAAGTCATAGTTCATTAATTTTTTTTATTTATACAGTAGGTAGTCATGATGTGTCAGTAAACAGTATTCTGAAGTAGACCAGTTCTCCATATGCTTAAATGGTTGGGAGAAATGAAGCTAAAAAATTCATCTGGAAAACAAAGAAATTTGTTACAGTCGATGGCAAAGGCAATTACTGATTGCCAGCAAAAGGCAACTCAGCAGGCACCACATACTCTGGAGTGCCTCTGTGCCCACAGACTGGCTCATCCACCAGCTCCCTGTCCAGAGAGACTTCATCACAAACATGTCCCTCCTCTGGCTCTCTTGGGCACACGTTGCTCCAGTTTGCTGTTGCTGGGCAGCAGGGTTGAGCAGGGATGGAGCCAGGGCCACGGTGGGCAGAGCCTGCCAGCTCCTTCCTCCCTGTCCTGTGTGCTCACACTCCTTCACTCATCCCCTGCTTGCTCCTTGCCCAAAGAAAGTGAAAGCCAGAGACTCCTCTTTCATCCTGTCCTTTACAGCATACTTCCCAGTGCTGCTGGATGAGATAAAACCTTGGATTACAAGTAACAATTATTTTGCATACTGCTCACTGCTAAATCTGGAAACCGTTTATTATTAACAATTACGTTTAAGTGAGGCTTAAAAATATCCCACTTTACAGTATAGGAAAGATCCCAGAAATGTACGTAGTTATGGAGGGAGAATGTCTCCAGCTCCAAATAGGCACACATATACACAGAGGCATGCAGAGAAAGCAAGAACACAGGGTACTTTTTGAAGAGCAGTGATGATTGCCTCAGAACCCTAAAAGTTGACATAGAGGAGGCGCCTCACATGCAGTTCAGGATTACAGAAGAAGGAACAGATTAGATCACTAAATACCTAAATTTACAAATTCCCATTATTTTACTACACCAGTCATCGTGTTTTGTTCACAGAAATAAACATTGGCATCTATTTATGCTATATGAATAAAGTCGTCTTTACTTGTCCACAGCATCCAGGCTACATTAATAGTTTCTAATGATAAATAAAATTAAATCCTTCCCTCCATCCAATTCACAAAGTTTTTTGCTTCCTTTCTTGCTGCCTTCTTTTCTTTATTCCATGAGACTTAGTGGATATATTTGTTCCTTCTTCATTTATATACAGAGAAACAAAACCATTTAAACTGATAGATAAAGATGTGTAAGTACTGTTTAGCATCCACCTGCAAACACAATGTGGAGAAAGAAAATAATCCCCACAGTTCCAGACTTTTTCTGTTTCTTGATATTTACTCTCCCAGAAGGACAACAGCATGATGTGCACGAGGCAGGAAGGGTAATGATCTGTGCCAAATTTTATGTGCTTGTGCTTCGTGCCATGGTCTGTTTTTTTTTTTTTCACTGCCAGCAGATCAATAAAGTTGTGACTTCAGGATCATGCAAGAGACAAGAGCTGCTCTGGTGTCTGTAGCAGCACAGGACTAACAGATTACTTGAAGTGGGATAAGGTTGGTATCAGGCAAGCATTCAGTTCATACTTGCTCTGCAGCAGTCTGGAAGTGTCCCACGGGAATCAGGTATGGGATAATTAAGGGCTCTTAAGCCAGCAGACAAGGATATTACAAGGATAAACATTTTCAAACTGAAGGCAGATAGATGCAGAGTTGTAGAGGAAGCACAATTTTCTACACGTGGGAGATGAAACCTATTGGAACAATTTACCAAACATTATGGCAGATTTTCACCATAGGCAATTGCTAAAATATGCGTGGATATGTTGTTGGGTTTCAGTTTTTTGTTTTTCTCTTCCTTCTTCCTGTGAGTATGATCTAGTTTAAACAGGAATTAATTTCAATTTAGCTGATGGCCTGGGTTATGCAAGACCCAAAAGCCACAATGGTTCTATTAAGCCTCATAATCTGTGAGTCTGTACTCAGTCTTCATAACTGCATAGAAAGGGGAATGAGGGAATGCAGCAAAGTGTTTGGGAAAAAGGAAACCTTCACAATGCTTATAAATCAGGCATAGCAGAGTTTCCCCAAACCCTCATGGGCTGCTGTATCAACCTGCCTCCTGGCCTTCCATTCCTGGAAGCTCCCAGATATTCACAGCCTGAAAACATTCCTGCATTCAACGTGCAAAATAAAAAGGCAGTAAAACAGGTGGAGGAACAAAGCTGTTCCTTTATACTCTGTTTTTAATTGAAGGGATTATAAAACACTTCAGGCATGCTGAGAAATCATGACTTTGTTCCTAAATAAAAAGCTGCAGCTATTATTTTTTTTAAACTCTTGTTTCTCCTCCTACAACAGTGGTTATTATATGCATGCATTTGCAGTGTAATAGAATCAGTATCATCTCTGTGTCTTATTACTGTTGCAATCCCCTAACATGCTGTTCCTTCCATCCCACATGAATCTGGTAATTACTGCTGAGCCATGCCATGCGTACACTTTCCCTTCCAAGGCAGCATCAGCAGTTACCACAAACACAATTCCTACGTACTAGTAAACACCAGCAAGTGGGACAGTACATGTTGCCTCATAAGCCAGTTCCAGGGCACAATCCTTGCTCTCCAGAAAGCTGCACGTGACTGAAGACTCATGGACATGAAACCAACGTACACCGTGAGATGGGGGGAAAATGCACTGGACTTACTTCTGCCTTCATTTTTGCTGTGTGTTGGAGTGATCCCTGTGAGTGCTGGCAACACTGTGCAGGGCTGCTCAGGCAGGTTACAGGAACGTGTGTGTGCCCCTGTGCATGTGTCAGTGTGGGCAGGTGTGGGTGAACATGCTACTTTCAGAAAGAGATAAAATAAAAAAAATCAACCTAGGTCTACTTTTACCTCCTCTTTTTAGGCTCATGCCCCCAGACTGTGTCAGAAAAAGCTGAAAACAGGATTTGCTACATCCTGTAACTAGTCCAATTTTGCTCCCCAAACACCATATCCTACTGTTTAAAGCTGAAAACAAGCAAAAAATCACAGAATAATAATCTGGCTGCTGGTGTATTAAGTGTTGTAAAACCACAGATCTGCCACAAACATCTTTCCTGATCTTAGCAATTTGTGCTCCTGAATTCAGCTGGATAAAGAGAGTCAGAATGGAGCAGCTCTGAGCGCATTTCAGAATCCCAATCTTGTTGAAATTCACACAGCACCACAGCAAAAGCATGCTCCAATGTGGGATGCTCCTGCTCTTTCCACAAGCTCTCCAAATTTTAGATAGGAAAACTGCAACTGCTCCAATCCCAAATGCAAACTCCAACACTATTCCTGCCCAGGAGCATTGCAAAGGCATCTGTGCTGGCTGCTGCAGGATGTTACCTTTTCCAATCTCAAGAAGAGAGATAAGAACAGACATCACATTTCTGCTGCTCCTAAAATGTAGGCTCTGATACGTAATGGCTAAAGAACACCACGAGATGACAGTGCCACTTTTGCCAAGTCCAACACTCTTTTGGCAGCAAACCTTTACATTCTCAAGACTAAGTAAAGTGCATATAGCTCCCAATAAGAATCTGTCAATAATGCACCCTGCCATATTAGCACTTTAAAAATTCACTGTGGAGTGTCTTTTGCTTTTTTTTCCCAGTGTGAACCCAAAGTTTTACCTTTCAGATAGAGATCAAGAGCAGCCAGCCTTTCCCATCAGATAGATCTGTGCCCAGGGCATGGGGCTTAAGCAAAGTCACAATAACCCACATCCACCATCCTGTTCTTTACAAAGGAAGCCAAACGCTACACCACAATATTGCAACGGGGCAGTGAGACTAGTCCTGCCAGTAGGAATGATGGCGTTAGATGTGGTCTTAGCTGTTCAGCACTCGGGGAAACATTCCTGAGAGTGTAGGGATTCAGGCATGAGACTGCCGTTGCCTGCCAGCCCGGCTTGGTGGAAGGTGTTGAACTTCCCTGAACGTGTAGAAAACACCAACGCGCTGGGCAGAGCTCGGCACGGCAGTTTGGGAAGGGGGCTGCTGCAGCCGGAGCGGGGAATCGATGCTGATGCCAGATCGGGGATTTGCAGCACCGCTGCTGCGAGAACCAGATTGTGCGTGTGTGGGGTGTGCGCGTGTGTGATGTGTGGGGTGTGCGTGTGTGGGGTGTGCGTGTGTCTGTGCGGGGTGTGCGTGTGCCTGTGTGGGATACGCGTGTGTGCGGTGAGTGTGTGTGCGGTGCGGGCGCGCTCGCCGGCTGGCTTGTGCCGAAGAAGCTGCTTGACTTGCTCTCTGTTTTTGAGGGCGCGGATTTAGGGACCCGGGGCCAAAAAATTCTCCGGACCCAGGTAAATCCGCTCGTTACCTTATTCCCCTTCCCGGCTCCGAGTGCCCGCGCTGTCCTGCAGGTGCTGTCAGAGCGCTCCCGCGATGCGCAGCCGAGCCGGGAGCGGAGCCGGCTGCGAGAGCCGCGAAGGGAGGGGGGGGACGGGGACAGAGGATGGAGGGGGGGTGGGCTGGGAAAAACGTGTCCCCCCCGCCCCCGGCTGACGTCAGCGCGGCTCCGCGCGGGGCACCCGCAAAAGCGCCGCGCCCGCCGCGCCCCGCGCAGAGCCCGCGCTGAGCCCGCGCTCCCGCAGCGGCGCCGCCGCCGCCTCGGCCCCCGCCCGGCCCAACTTCCCGCCGGGACGGGACGGGACTGGACGGGACCGGACGGGAACGGCGGCGCCCCGCTGGGCTCCTCCTGAGGCGCTGTGCGGGCGATGCCTCTCGCCGCCGGGCTCCTGGCTCCCGGGGCGCGGCGGCTCTCGGCGGCGGCCCCTGCCCCCGCTGCCCGCTCGGGCGCCCCGAGAGCAGGTACGAGCGCGGGGGGCGCGGGCCGGGGGCTCCCTGCGGCGGGGAGCGGCTTAGGGGGGGGGTTGCCGGCGTTTGTTCTCCCAGCCCCAGTTTAAGATGCTGGCGGTGACCGGGAGCTGGGCAGCCGGGATCGGGACGGGCAGCGGGGACGGGATCGCGGTGCCGGCGGGAGGCGGCGGCGGCGGGCGGAGAGGTCGGGCGGGGAGCGCAGCGCCGGGACCCCGGTGTTCGGGGAGCTCCCCGACGGGGCTTCCCCCATAGCAGCTCCGCAGGCGCTTTCCGAGAGCAGAAGGAAGGGAGGAGGAGGAGGAGGGATTCCAGAGGACTTTGCAAGTCGCTGCCTTGCAGCTCTCCTTCCACCACTCTGTCAACCTTCCGACCTGCTTCGCCCTCCCCGAGCAGCTTCCGCTTCCCCCTCCCCGAGCTGCCTCTGCTCCCGGCCGTTTTCACTGGGGATTTCTTCTTTCTCTCCTTACCTGTCTCAAAAGGTTTGACTGTAGGTACCAAAGCGGGGATCGACGGCGCATAAAGATGCTGAAGGGTGTTTGGTTGCTCAGTTTGTTAACAGTGGCTGGGATCTCGCGGACAGAGAGTCGCAAACCTGCCAAAGACATTTGCAGCAAGAGCCGCTGCCCTTGTGAGGAGAAGGAGAACGTGCTGAACATTAATTGTGAAAACAAAGGATTTACAACCGTCAGCCTCCTCCTGCCGCCACCGTCCAAGATCTACCAGCTGTTTCTCAATGGGAACGCACTGACCCGCCTGTTCCCCAATGAGTTTGTCAACTACTCCAATGCCGTGACCCTCCACTTGGGCAACAACGACATGCAGGAGATCCGCACAGGGGCTTTCAGCGGCCTTCGCACCCTCAAGAGGCTGCACCTCAATAACAACAAGCTGGAAGTGCTGAAGGAAGACACGTTCCTGGGCTTGGAGAGCCTGGAGTACCTGCAGGCTGATTACAATTACATCAGTGCCATTGAAGCGGGGGCATTCAGCAAGCTAAACAAGCTCAAGGTGCTGATTCTCAATGACAACCTCCTGCTGTCCCTGCCCAGCAATGTCTTCCGCTTCGTGCTCCTCACTCACCTGGACCTGCGGGGGAACCGGCTGAAGATGATGCCTTTTGCTGGTGTGCTGGAGCACATTGGAGGCATCATGGAAATCCAGCTGGAGGAGAACCCTTGGAACTGCACCTGCGACTTGCTGCCACTCAAGGCCTGGCTAGACACCATCACCGTGTTTGTGGGCGAGATAGTCTGCGAAACCCCCTTCAGGCTTCATGGAAAAGATGTGACCCAGCTCACCAGGCAAGATCTCTGCCCCAGGAAAAGCTCCAGTGACTCAAACCAGAGGGAAAAACATCCTGTCCTCTCAGACCCACACATCTCCAGGCTGTCGCCCACAGCCAACTCTGCCATGAATCCCACCAGAGCCCCAAAAGCCAGCCGGCCACCCAAAACCAGGAACCGCCCCACCCCCCGTGTCTCTGTGTCAAAAGACAGACAAATATTCGGACCTATCATGGTTTACCAGACAAAGTCTCCAGTGCCCATCACCTGCCCAGCTGGCTGCATCTGTACGTCACAGAGCTCAGACAACGGCTTAAATGTTAACTGCCAAGAGAAAAAGATAAGTAACATCTCCGATCTCCACCCCAGGCCAACCAGTCCAAAGAAACTTTACCTTACCAGTAACTATCTGCAAGTCATTTATAGAACCGATCTCACAGAGTACAGCTCTCTGGATTTGCTACATCTAGGAAATAACAGAATTGCAGTGATACAAGAAGGTGCCTTTACAAACCTCACAAGTTTACGTAGACTTTACCTTAATGGCAACTACCTTGAGATCCTGTACCGGTCTATGTTCGAAGGGCTGCACAGCCTGCAATATCTCTACCTAGAGTACAATGTCATTAAGGAGATCCTGCCACGCACATTTGATGCTCTGAGTAATCTTCATCTGTTGTTTCTCAACAACAACCTGCTCAGATCCTTGCCTGACAATGTCTTTGGCGGCACTTCCCTCACCAGGCTCAACCTTAGAAACAATCATTTCTCACACCTGCCTGTGAGAGGAGTCTTGGACCAGCTCTCAGCTCTAATTCAGATAGACCTCCAGGAGAACCCTTGGGACTGCACGTGTGACATCCTGGGGCTGAGGAACTGGATAGAGAAAGTCACTGACCAGAACAACCAGCAGTCAAATCCCCCCGTAGTTATTAATGAAGTCATATGTGAATCTCCCACCAAGCACTCTGGAGAGCATCTGAAATTCCTGAGCAAAGAAGCCATCTGCCCAGAGAACCCCAACCTGTCAGATTCTTCTCTCCTCTCCATGAACCAGAACACAGATACACCCCATCTCCTCGGTGTCTCACCCACCTCCTACCCAGAATTACACACTGAAGTTCCACTGTCTGTCTTAATTTTAGGATTGCTGGTTGTGTTTATTTTGTCAGTTTGTTTTGGGGCAGGCCTGTTTGTCTTCGTCCTTAAGCGGCGGAAGGGGGTGCAAAGCATGCCCAGCAGCGCAAACAACGTAGATATAAGTTCATTTCAGCTCCAGTATGGGTCTTACAACACTGAGACCCACGATAAAACTGAAGGACACGTTTATAACTACATTCCCCCTCCCGTTGGACAGATGTGCCAAAACCCAATTTACATGCAAAAGGAAGGGGATCCAGTTGCCTATTACAGGAATCTCCATGATTTTAGCTATAGCAGTCTTGACCACAAAAAGGAAGACCCCACCAGTCTTGCATTTACCATCAGTGCAGCTGAATTGCTGGAAAAGCAATCCTCGCCGAGGGAACCAGAGCTTCTGTATCAAAATATTGCAGAAAGGGTCAAGGAACTGCCCACTGGAGGATTAGTTCATTATAACTTTTGTACCTTACCCAAAAGGCAGTTTGCCCCTTCATATGAATCAAGACGCCAAAACCAGGACAGGATAAATAAAACTGTTTTATATGGAACTCCCAGGAAATATTTTGCAGAACAGTCTAAACCCGAGCATCCTTTACTCCAAGGAAAGCTACAAACAGAACCAGACTACCTCGAAGTTCTGGAAAAACAAACTGCAATCAGTCAGCTGTGAGGGGGGAGGTGGGAGACAAAGGAAATTTTTTAAATGAGCTCAACATCACATTTCATTGAGTCTGAACTCAGTGCTGATATCATCTGTCACATTCCCAACATTTCCACTTTTTTAAATCAGAGAGGGAGAGAGAGAGAAAAGGAGCCCTTGCAGCATAGCAGGGATATGGTGTTGCTTTTGCAACGTTCTCTTTAAGTTATTTCTCTCTCCTTTTGACCCTTCTGTAGGAACTGTCACTGCAAATGTACCTTTCTGTAATAGATCTTGCATAATTCTTTTTGATTTTGAAGGAAATGAGGAAGGGGGTCTTTGGGTTTTCTGTTGTTTTTCTTTTCATTTCAAAGTGGAAACTTAATGTATTATGTAGAAGATCTCCAAAGATCTTTTTTCCTGGACTATGACTTTCTTTTGTAAATAATAATATACGGTACTGCTATTTCAATTACCAACTATAGCCACTGGGCGTCACTTTTTTGTGTTAAAGTGCCTTTGCACTTTAAGTACATTATTACTTAATTGTTGCTCTTAGCTTTGATAAATTGAACCTATTTTAATGTGTTGTATTTTTGAAATTAAAAAAAAATTGTAAAATAGATCTATATGTCAGCTGCATTAAATCAGAAGGTTTGATTTATAGGAAAGCTGCCCTTCTTTAAATGACTCTAGTTCTAGGACCTTACAGACTCAAATGTAAATTATTGGGTTATTTTTTCCTTCTAGGTTTGTTTAGAGTGATTCACTGAAACCAACTGAGAGGATTTAGAGCAATGGACTAGAGGTTATCAAACGCCTCAGCTGGGAATAACAGCTCATTAATAAAAGATGTTTAACACAATGTCATAGTGAACTGAACAATTAATGTCCTTCTTAATACATTGCATTGCAGTTCTAACACAGTAATGTTCAGTGGCTTAAGATTATTTTCATACTTAACAGAACATTACTCATAATATTTTATGCATTAAATTAGGTATTTTTATACATTTTGTGACAGAGTTTATATTTGTAACTTTTTTGGACTGAAATTAATATGTCCTCTTCCTGCCAGATACATATTTTTTTTCATAAGCGGGGATACCAGCAGGGGTCATCCCACACCTCATTAAATTTATTAACATACAGGCAAAGGAACCAATGCCAAAGGTAAAATTTGAACCTGGGTCTCTGGATTTCTCCAAATCAAGGTAGCCAAAATCAGTATGTGCATCACACTAACTTTCAGTAAGTCTGAATTATGTCTAGTTTTCAGTCTCTAAAGCAAAAGTATTACTGCAATAATTCTAATCTGCTAGAGAAAACTACCATTAAGTTCATTATCTTAAATTTTGTAAAATGTTTTAAGTTAACTGAATTCCATTCTCAGCGTTGGTTTTCTTAAGCCCATCAGTGAACAAATGCCATGAGTCTTCTCCTTTCCCATTAACTCAGGCCTGCTTTGCTTCAAGCTTTATGTTATCACCTCCAATTTACATTTCCTTCCTGGAGAATATTGAAACCATTTTTATTAACAAGTATA